AAAACGTACATTTGTCTCAAATCTATCTCCCTTTGATTGCTGAATCCAATTACATTGCGCAGATAGGTTACTGCCAATATAGAAGTATTAAATATATGCATACTAATTACCTAAGTAAAGTGTTGGCAACTCTGGTGCGAAATATCAACAAATCAGATCAGCTGTGAAGTTATGTCAAATTACCGCCTTCGTTCGTTGCCATCGTGTTCTTTGCCAAAATCTCCAACTGGAGCAGAGTAAGTTAAAACTATGTACTGCCGGTGGTATTTCATCAAAATTTTATGAAAATCATAACTAACAATACCCGCTTTCAGGTAAGCGCGAATGTTGCTCAACTGCGCGTTAAGACGTAGCGTTGCACGTGTCAAATTNTTGGTGTGGAATCGCGGCCGGCTAAACCAGCGCCACCACAACTGCGACGCGAAAGACAGCTTCAAGCGGCAAAGAAAAAATCTACACCTTATATACCGGGCATCGTAAATTTGCAAGTGTTAGGCGCCGGTGCAAATGGCTCACCAAGCGCAATCTACCTATTCACCGATCAGGCCCGCTATTTGTTTAATTGTGGGGAGGGCACACAGCGTTTAGCACATGAGCATAAAACAAAGCTGGCGCGGCTAGAACATATTTTCGTTACACGTAACACATGGCCCATGGTAGGTGGATTTCCTGGTCTAGCATTAACGGTACAAGATGCGGGCGTTAAGGAAATGGCTTTGCATGGACCACCGCATTTAGATAGTGTGCTGCACAGTATGAAGCGTTTCGTAGTGCTCAAGACGCTGAAGGTAAGATAAAAGTAGACGTAATTTTTTTAAATAAAATAGCCACAATTTTAGGTAAACACACGGGATTGCACAGAGCAGTCGGATTTTGAAGACACCGTCATGAGCGTCAAGTATGTGCCGCTGTATAAGCAGCAACCAGCAGCACCCGATTCAATAGATGCGCAAAACCAAATGGTGGTTGCGTACATTTGTAGACTTAAACCACGTCCAGGTGCACTTAATTTAGTTAAATGCGTTGAGC